CCCCAAAACCCCAAAACCCCAAAACCCCAAAACCCCTCTACCATAAAACAATTATCAAGAATAATTAATAAAATGTGGAGGAAAACGTTCTTCTGCTGGCCTTTACTCTCAGGAGTAAAAACAGTAGCATTCTTTGATATCGCAATGGTTGTAATCTCATCTCTGTTCCTTCTCTTAGTCCTTGCACTAAACGATGATGGAGCAGTCATCTTAATACTAGCAGTATTTGAATTCCTGTTGGTGACAATCCCAAGAGGAGCTATGGGGATTCTCATTACGAAGAAAAAGTATCCTCAAAATATAGCTAAGTACTACGCATTCGTCAGAGTTGGTACGTTCTTGCTTCAATATCCTTATAGGCACAATGCTTCCAATGATCATTCTAAATATTTTGGAAATGGGCGAAGAGGCCCATATTAGTGAAGAGAAATAAAGAAGAAGGCTCTAGAAGAGGATCTAAGGGGTCAGTCATCTTCTTTGGTGTCATTTTCCTTTTTGGCAATATCATCTTAGACCTCTTCTTCGCCCACGTACTGTTTAGTTATTTTAAGAATGGGAATGAGTATGATCCCAGAAGAACGGATTTAGGAGCTCAGAATAATCAACAGGTTCCTCAAGGGATCAATCTGGGTCCGAATGGGGGACTACAACAAAGGCCAGCACATGAGCCTCGGCAACACTCATTTGCCCAACACCCTGAAGGAATCAGAGTTGGAGGGGAAATTGATGAAAACCAACTCGAAGGTAAAGATCCCAAAGTTGTAGGAAAAGAACTTGCGGATATTGAGTTAAGCCTTAATGGAGGGATCAACCAAGACAATGAGCTTGATGAATTTAACGAACAACCAGGAATAAGTCCTAATATTAGTGTCGATGACACTCCTCCTGATGTTGATGATTACTATAATGGAGCAGGTAACCAAGTGGTGGATGCTCCGAATAACTATAGAGTTCAGCCATCATAAAACAATTCGCCTGACCAAAATGATAAACTAATTTATTGCTGTTCAATTTTAGTTTAATCTTTTGGGGTTTTGGGGTTTTGGGGTTTTGGGGTTTTGGGGTTTTGGGG